AAAAAAACATTTTAGGTATTTCTTTAATTTTCTCTCTGCTTAAAATGTTGCTGAATTGAAAACCCTTAAAAACTCAACAGCCTCGTAGCAAATTACTACTTCGATGCGGTTTGATTTGCCCTCCACGCTTGTGGTAGCATGTTAACCGCTTTCGGTTAGTTGTTTACTCAGTAAATGCAGGAGCAATTTTCAGTTGAAATTGGCATTATTTAAAAGGGGTAAAGAAAATAGATTTGACTTTATGGCTTTGCGAAATTCGTATTTATCTTAAATGTCAGGGCTTAGTTTTCAGAGTAGAAAGTTAAATTCGATTGCTGCTTGAGTTAAATTTTTATAGCTAGCCAACTAGAGCAGTGCAAACCTCAAAGCCATTGCCCAGTTTGATACTTGAGCTGAGGTCGGATATGGTGAACTTCTTGAGCAATTCAACGCAAGTATAGTGTCCGGCCATTACCAGAAGAGTTGAGGTCTGCAACCTTTTCGCACCTTACATGCACTTTAGGGAAATCCCGAAATTGGTATTATAAATATTCTAATTTCTGTCTTCAAGTGTTATATATTGAAAGGTTTCCCCAAAGACCAGTTAACTTGATGGGTAGATGTTGGGGAAAGCCTAACACAACTCCCGATTGCCCCTAAATATTTTGTTTTCAGCATAATGTTAATAGCACACAATAATCTGTGTGTCTGATAAGCTAACTATTTAGGGGTTTTTTGAGAAGTTTCTCCTAGCAGTACCCCGCGCTCGGCTTGCTTTTCTAATCTAATGATATGTAGATACTCAGTTGTTCGGCTACAGACTGAGACCTAGAGATCTATTGTTCCCTTTTTCTGCTTGTAATCTCTTGTTTAGGCTTAAAGTCCTTAAAAAATTGCAAGGTTATTTGGTAAAAGCAAGTGTATGTATTCGTTTTAATGCCAGCCTTTCTGAACTGCTGAATTCTTACTCCTGACTCGATATAATCCCTCATGGTCAGATGTCTCAGCAGAAATTAATTTCATAAAAGTGGCATATTTCTTTCAAGGAAATTTCAACTTTGTACGCTGGTAACTTTGTCTACAGTGGTCTCCTGAAATACCTATTCAAATTTCCTATAGTGGAGCAAAATTCAAAGTGTTTGGACATCATATCGTTGATACCCTAAAACCAAAACTTAATATTGTTCTATGGTATTTTTGATGTAATATGTACATTTGTCTACCATTTGATATCGTTCAAATAAAAAATTTTGATGACAGTCCTCTATAAGGACAATTACTCGGAGGTGATATTTCTGCCATGAAAAAGCGTCTCATAAAAAACATGTGCTACTCGGAGGAGCTCCCTCCATTACGCGACAGCAACTACTTCTTGTTTTTGGCACCACAACCTTTTGCAGATTTCGGACGAGATATGAAATCTAGGTCAATCGCCTCTCTCTTTTGTTCAACCCGACTGTAGACTGGTTCTTCTACACTTTATCCACCTACGAGGGCCAATCGAAGGATTTTTTCATCGCAGTGTAATCTTCCAAAGACCGCTGTAGTTGACTTGTAAGAGGTGCGTACTACCGCTCCGTAGTCTCCCCCAAAGCATTCTCATCTTAAATAAATTATGTGCAATGGGATGTGGTCGTTCTTCCTGGTATGCAGTTACAGTTGGGCAACGTATTTTTGAGATGTGATAACCAGTCCTAGTTTGGTCTTGGGTTACGATAGAAAGAAAGGGCAGCGTCTGTTTATCTGTGGATACGGCTGCAAGCGGGTGTCTTTTTTTAGCAAGCGGCTGATTGCGAGTAAAGGTACATGTTTGAAAAACTCCCCATAATGGATTGTGCCCTGGGATTATGAACCGCCACATAAAAGCACCTTTCAATAAAGGGACCATTGTACGGCAACAGTAGTTAAGATGCCACCCACAAATAGAGAAAGAAGCTCTGCAAAAGATATTTAGTTGATGCTCCTACAAGCTTTCTTTCCAGTAGCTGTCCGACTTTGAGATTCCAGTGTGCTAGTCTGTTGGTTCTTTGTTCCTAGGCTCCTCATAGTGGTATTGCTGGTGTTATTATTGCTTTAATTTCATTTACTCTGTCTGCGGACAAGTTTCCTTTAATGTATTTAAGAGAATATTGCATTATTTGTAAGATTTTTGAAATCTTCACTTGCTTTTAACAGTTTGCTTCTGATAAAAAGTCATTCGAAGCCGATCACAGTTTTGTGCATTTGAGAAAGCTTCTGTTTTCTTTGTAGATAGTACAATTTTAGCTTAAGTGTCCTGAAATTAGGGAGAAACAAGTACATTGTTGTTCTTTGATTTTCACCTTCTAACTCCACTTCTTATAATTTGGCTCTACAACCGTTTATCGAGAACAAAAAATCGCCAATTTCCTGCCTTCTTTGCTAATTTTCGCCAGTGCAGACTGCTCCTTCAGTTCGTCTATCCTTCAAGGGCGTTCTTTGTTTCATTGTTCACCATTCAGCGCAATAGTTGTATCTTTCTACGCTTAAATAAGTATATCCATGTCGTTAGAAATCTCGTACAGTTCGCCCACGCAGTCATAGATTTTGCTTAGAATAGTTCTCTCGAAAGCACCCAAAGCCGCCATATATTTAATATGTCTCTCGTAATGATGAGAGATTTGTTGAGCGTATCATTTGTTCGTCGAGGAAGGCCTCCATTTTTAAATTGCCTACCTAGCCCCAAATATTACCTGTTAGCAAGTGTTATTCTTCGCCAGATCTCCAAGCTGAAATTATCCTTTACTACTTCAAAGTTATGTATATCTGACAACGGTGACTTGCATCCCAAACACGAAGCCCTTTTATTTGTTGCCAGGAGGTACTTTGTCTTATCCTCTTTCACCGCTACACCAAACTTTTTTGCCCTGGGTCGTACTTAGGCCGAATATTTCCGACCTCCTTGTACTATACTTTAAATAATGGGAAAGCTCCACAATTGAAGAAGCTATCATTTGGAGTAGAGATGAGCGCGGGATATTGGGACCTACGGTACTAATTTCAAAATGGCCGGGAGGAGTGGTATCGGGAAGGTCTTTAAAAATTTTTCGGGCGGGACGGGACCAAAATCCTTTACCGACACTCCGGATAAAACCCGAAACCTCGGCAAATACAGAAAATCTTTCCGGATTTAAAAATTTAATTCAGGATAGGCGAGATCGGGACTGAAATTTTTGTCCCGTGCCCGTCTCATTTGGAGCAATGTAGTATGTACAGTGTAGTGGATTTCCTGGATAGGAAGCTTTAAACATGTCTAAAAGGTAGCTCTCAATTTTGTACAGAAGAAGGATAGTTAGCCAAAGTATTCTGGCCTTAGATTCGCCAGAATGTTCGTGTCGATCAAAGGAAGCAAAAACAAGCCTTCGCCAATGTGCTGATCTCGTTAATAATATACTGTTAAGAGAATTGTCGAGGCAACAGTATTTAATCTTGTAAGCCAGACTAATCAAGCTTACCTTTAAATACTTTATTTTAATCTGATGTAGTCAAGTGTAGTCCATAATTTTCAAAATTCATTTTACAAACAACCAATAAAGGAAATGCAAATTAACTTAAAATAAACTGCACACTTTAAATGCAGCTAAAAATAATCTTAATCAATCTTTTTTCTGCCTTTTTACGCTTGAATACTCACTTGTGCGACATGGCGAGACTTCATTGAAATGCGTAAAATTCCTGGATGTGAAGCACGTACCGACTGGATCATAACGCAATGATTTATTTGGTGTCATTGTATGGAAGACATAACGTGGAGCGCAAGCCTGAAAAAATTAAAAAAAATCAAAATAATAAGGTTCATAAATATCGTACATAAACATACGCGAAAATAAAACAAATTCATGAGCAGATAAAATTTAATTTCCATACATAAATCGTAATTACAATAATTTAAATAAAAATGTGAAAATATTTTTTTTTGTTTGCTTAGAGGGGACGTGTCAAGTGCAGCAGAACTGTTTAGATGAGCCGTCAACAACAAAACTGACGTAGAAATCTAATTCAATGCAATGCCTGGAAGCTAAGCAATGCAATTTTTCAACTCTTTCAAAATAGATTACCCCACTAAAACTTCACTGCCGGTTTCTGTGTGCGCTTTTGCATAAAATCGCTTGCGTGTTTGTTTATGTGCATATCGGGCAATGGCAATTACTTTTACAAATTTATACAATACTTATACCAAATGCAGTTGAAATGCACAAATGCTTAAGCTACGCATCCGCGCCTTATATGGGCCAAACGAAAAATGGGCAAATAGAAAGAGACAAAAAAAAACTGAAACGCATTTGAACAAAAGGCCGAACTAAAGACAGGCTTAAGCACTCACACGTACACACAGCCGCTCTTCTAGCACCATCACCTACCGACATACATAAGTACATATGTACATATGTAAGTGGGATGGGGGATTGACTGTTGTGCGCCTCACTGGCCATGCGCTTGGACCCACTAAGCTGCGGCCTGGGACGACAGCACACGTGAGAAGCGTTTTGCGCATTTATTGTTTACCACTCACTTTGCACTGGCGAGGCGATCTGCTGCTATTTCCTGGCTACATACTACTCTGTGCAGTTGGCAGTTGGCAGTTGGCTATGTGTCCTCGGCATTTCGCCGCTTGAGTTCTGGTTGCTTTTTTTCGTGTGGCATTTCTTTAGTGAATTTTAAGCACTTCATGTCTGAAAATATTTGGGAAAGCGCTTTTTTGTGCGCATACTATTCGTATGCATGTTTGTACATACCTACACATGTACATTTATGCCTCCCTCCAAACTTAGCCGTCAGTCGCTTGCAATTTTTTGTCTGTGCTTTCCTTTTTATTTATTTTTATTTTATTTTTTGTTGGTTCGTTTGTTGAGTAGTACTGGTGTGCATTGCCGTCA